ATATTAACATCAGTCAGGGAATCTCTACACATAAATCTACAAATTGAGCAACGCCAACCCCTCATAAAACAGGGGATGATCTCAGGTGCTCAGGAAGGGTCAGCTGCCTAGGTGCTATTGTTTAAATAGCTTGATGAGTCATATCCAGTGTCACCAAATTTAAAACATGTTGGTATATGTAAAGTATCTAAAATTTTACCAAATGTGAAAGTTTGAAATGAAATAAGGTTTTCCGTGTATGTACGATGGATAAACACGACTTTCACTGGATGACAACACAGCCATTGAAAAAAAACAAATAACACAACACAACATTGACAGCATAAACAACACGAGTCCCTTTTCATTAAAACTAGGGGTCATCACAGGTGTACCAGGAAGGGGTGTAGTTTCTGGTCAACTGTCAGCACGAGTGGTGTTACTCATTGCAAGTAGAAAGTCGGGGACGAGTTGTATTTATTGATTATCTTGATCCACAGTCGAGGAAAAAGATAGGAATGTGGCAAGGAGAAGTGGAACATATAAATTATCATTTGTTACTCGGATGGTACACAGTCAAACAAATCCTAAAGGCGTCCTAAAAACGTTCGAATGTTTCCATTTATGGGACCTTTGATTAAATTGTCTTGCAAGCAGCATCGATGTATCAGGAAAACACAATCCCTAGAACATCGTATGAACCAAAAGTGCAATTCGATGAAAGAATTGAATATCAGTAGTGCCTTGTCTTAGTTTAGTTCATATTCACTTTTTGGTATCCATTTTGAAATTTTCCGCCATTTAAAAAAACAGTTTTAATGTCTAATATACCGCCATGACTTCCTAGACACATTGGATTACATTGTATATGCTTTTAAAATATTTGATTTGAGTAGTATTTGCTTTAATTTATACATGTGGTGAAATTTTGACTGATTGGCAGCCATCTTGAAAATGGCCGGCATTTTGGATTTTTCAGAGTGGCACGGTCCATAGCTTAAATTGACTATCATATATAGATCTACAATTGTGCAAAGTTTCATGCTTTTATCATTAAACCCACAATTCTTCTAAAAATATGCACGAATCAGCTGGACTATTAGTCCAATTTGATCCAAACGAAAGCAGTGAGTTAATAAAATCAAAATACGACCGATCTGCCTATTTTTGTACATAAAAACTCAATATGAGCATTTTAAGGCCGGATTCGTCTACCTCACAAAATCTTGTTAGGCACTATAGTGGGATGTTAGGGTATGGTTGTTTGTTTGTTTGTTTGTTTTTTGTTTGTTTTTTTTTTTTTGTTCTGATAGGAATTATGGAGTTACTACAATATCAATATATTAATCTGTATCAGAGCACATGTTTTATAAATTACGTTTAAAATATCACGTACTGTCCGACTATAAAATGGGTGTTTTTTCGCGACATTTCGTTGCAACTTTCTTGAATCAAAGATATAATTCATCCTTCTTTTTTGGGAGATTTGTTTATCAAAAGATGGATAAGTCGAACATAGGTGTATAACACCAAACATCGCAGTAATATGAATTATATTCTGTCTGGATGAATTTACATTAACTGTCCAAATTATTAGTATGAGATGGAAAAATAAATCTTTAATATCTAACATAAAGATAAGTAAGCATAAAAACAATGTAACAGTTTCCTTTTTGATTCAACTTGAGTTCGTCAAAGGACTTTTACTAAACTAGTATTATCGTTATAAAGCCACTCATACTTCAAAGAAACGCAACACTCTCGTTTGTGTTAACATTGAACAAGGAGTTGTATTGTCTTGTGTGTATTTTATTAAGAAGTCCAGAATATATTTGGTTAATAAGCTTGTCTGGAAATCTCTCGCAGGTCTTCTGTATAATCACGGTTATCAACCCCTTATAATGCCTGTACGGATACAGAAAAGAGAAAAACAAATTAGAACTGAACATCACTTATCTAATTTAGTTCACTATATATACAATGAAAGAATTCCTAACGCGGATTAAATATAAACCTCATGCCACAAACACCAGGCAATTATTCTAACATCCTAATTCGCAGATGAGATCAAACCCTCTACCACTGCTCCAACGTTTAGTTATCTTCCTTTAACAACACTGAGAGGAACAAGTCAATACTCTAACTGACGAATTTAACGCTCTTGAACAACTGCAAAGAAGATCTCACATCGGACAACTGTGATAACATTGAAGCTCTTCTTAAAGGATTCACTACATACAATCTAAAATTCTGCTTGAAAAACAAAAAAAGAAATAATGCAGGGATGGCATTGAGATCATCCATCCTTCTGTACCACCTAAAGAAAAGAAGAAAAGAGGGCGAAGCTTCAAACGTAGACCACAAGAGACGAATACTACCTCCATTATTGTGGTCAATTTATCAACTTTCAACTTTCAACTTTTATTATACTCTAGACAGTTTACACTGTAACAAGAGGCAGACAAATGATACAAATAATATTTTACAATGGTGAACAAGATAGAAAGAAATATATACATAATCATGTCAGTTACTTTCTAAAGCAATAGTACATTATACATAATTCTCTGTACACAAGTATACACATTAATAACACGTGAAAATCATTCAAAACTATAATACTGGGATTTAAGATCGTCAGTCGAATACATGTTAGTGGTGATAATATATTCATAATCATAGATATTTCATATTTTTGTTTTTGTTAAAATTGACAAGTTATTCAAGACTTTTACATTACATAAAGACAGCAGACCTTTCATTTTATATTCTGAAGTGTTTACAATATAGTAATTTGGGATATATTTATATCTTAATTTTGTAACCTCGTCATTGCGACATACAAATAAATAATAACACTGATTTCCAAAACAATTATTTTTACACAAAGTACATAATCTTTCTTCTTTTTGGAATGTTATGCCATCGACCAGTTTCTATGGGAATTTTGATCTGAAAGCCAGTTGACAGAGGCCGAAACACATCTGCCCTCGAGAGGCATTAATTTCTGTCCTTCACCTGCACCTATCAATGAGACAAAATATCAAAAGACCTTGACAGTTTTGCCAGAAGTCTCCACATCAAGGAATATTTCGCGTCAAGGGAAAATAACAACGAAAGCTCGGATAATGACTCAGAAAATTCAGATAACGAAAATAACTATAAATTTATTAAAAAAAAATACTTTAATTCCGAAACCAAGCAAAAATGCCACGTTTGTATCCTTTATTGAAAATTCTAAGTCAGACATTCTTAGAATACCAGGAAAAAAACGACCAAGAGAAATAACGGCTAGTTTGGTAGAAATGCACGAATATGGTTTCATCGATGACAATTCTCTTGAATATTTGAAACCAGATAATCCAAAACCTGACAGATTTTAATCTTCATAAAGCTAATAACACAGAAAGACCCATCGTTTCAGCAAACGTTCATCCGACTGAGAAAAAAAAATGTTGATTTTCACCTTCGTCAACATGTTGAAGATTACAATCTCACACCAATGATACAACTGATTACTTTAGAAGAATACAGGAAATACATTCTCTTCCTGTCGACACCACACTTGTCTTTATGGATGTCACCTCCCTTTACACGAATATTCAACATGCAGATAGCAATGATGAATGCACAAAAGTTTGAGATTCTCGACCAATAAAATCTCCACCCACTGAAAGTCTGGTAAAAATGCTCACGTTGGTACTGAAGAACAACAACTTCACCTTTGAAGGATATTATTATCACAAATTAATGGAACTGCTATGGTTACCAAAATGACTCTATCGTAGGCTAACATATTTAAGGGCAAATTAGAAAAAATCATTCCTTGAATCTTCGATCGAAAAACCGCTTTTCTGGTTTAGATTCATGGATGATGTGAATATGAAATGGAATAAAAGTGACGAGGATTTCGATACACTTATCACTCATTACAATAACATACATCAAAGTATACCCACGAGAGATCTAAATCTAAAATCAGCTTCCTCGATACTTCCAGTTCTTTGACAGGTTGTATGATATCCACAGACTGATATTCTAAGCCTACTGATACTCACAAATACCTGTTCCCTTAAATCTGCCATCCTGCATACTGTATTAGTAAATCCAAATATTTGGTTTGGAAATTTGACTACCCTTAAAATTCTTATTACAAATGGGATTCTTAATCCTAATTTTGACATTGATGTTGATTATCGAGTCCGTAAGTTTCGATGCGACACATGCAAACTTATTAATCACTGGAATAAACTTATTCTTAAGGGTAATAAATTTTACACTGCAGTAAGATGTCTTTTTCGGCACAAACATGGTTAATACAGTTTTAAGTTTTAAATAATTTGTGGTAATGAAATCCTAATGATTACCTATCATGCATAGTTTATATTCATTTAAATCTAAAACGTCACCACAGACATAGGCTACGCGAACGACTTGGGAATATACACACTTTAAAGGGTCCAAATCATACCGTCCAAAAGCAAGGAAAACTATCAATGGTGAAAGGAAAACCATAGACTGAGGTATATATTATTCAAAATATAATAATCTTTGATTGTGTTTCATATGAATTATTAATTCACATTCTACATATTAGTAGAAAGAAGGAAGGGTGGTTTTTCACTGATAAGACCAAAAAAAGTCGAATTTAAAAATAATTTTGAACTACTCTTGCTACTGATTTGGTAAGTATGGTATGTTGTCATTTCATACTTATAAGAATCTTGACTATTTTTAAATTCATTTGATGGTGATGAAAATGATGATGAACCGAGTGACCATGTTTAAATTATAAAAATAGATTAAATCTGTTGAATTTGTTTATAGTTTAATTGAAACTTAAAATTAAAAAGTCATTTAACTTTAAATGTCGGTTGTGCAACCCAGTTCAGAATAATAATTACAACAATTATCTGTGGTCACAGATCCATGTAATTTACTTCCTGATTAATATATGGATTTAATTAGACTTATCCATTGTTAAAGATTTATAATAAGACTAAGGAATGGGTTCAAATTGCTAACCTTGAACGGATCAATGAAATGTCTAACAAGCAGTCTAAATTCTATACCGATTCTTTGTAATACTGTAGTAATATCTTCAGTAATATCTATCTGTCTTTCATGTAAAGTTTTCAACTAACACGGTAAGGCTTTTCTTCAAAGGAAAATGTTTCTTATAATTTTAAGTGTAAAATGTTAACATTTAATATTTTAGGTAAAGTAACTGATAATTTTGAGAACTCTCGGTTGATTATTTTTTAACGAATTCAAATTTTAAATAAAAAGACTTTCCTTGCATAACATTTTATAGCTTAGTTTACACGTGGCGTTACACAAGATCATTTTCTGCATAATTCATGGGAGGAAGGTTGATCCAGAACTCAAAAATCTTGTTAAGTTTATAATAAATAATAAGATGACCCCCGAATCTGAACCCTTAGCACTGCTCATCTTTATTTATTTCTTTTAGTAAGTTTGGCGTTGATGATAAATCGTAAATTAACATGTGTTTGTATTTTAGCTCACCTGGCCAAAAGGCCAAGTGAGCTATTGACATCACTAGGCGTCCGGCGTCGTCAGCCATCATCCGATGTCAGCCCGTTCGTCGTCGTAAACATTTTAAAAAATCAACTTCTCTGATACTACTAGCTAGGCCAAATTTTACCAAAATTTACCTGCATGTTCCTGAGGGAATCAAAGTTTGCAAATTGTTTCTGGACTGATCTATCAACAATTATGGTCGATTTTGCTAAAATAGAACATAGGGGAATAACATGCTGTGGTTTTGCTAATATAAAAAATAAGCAGTTGGAGAAAAAGAAACAAATGCTAAACAGGATTCGCAGGTGCTGATTTCGCAGTTTTTTATTATTATTTTGAAAACTATTAACAGATAAAGGGAAACTTTAAAAAATGAAAATGACCAAAAACAACCATCTACAATATGGCTGAAATCGTCAATTGGCCCATATGTAAGTTATTGCCCTTAGAAGACGATTTTCCCCCTTTTTGCGTATTTTGATAGATAGATAGAGAGATAATGTAAGGAGCGAAAATTTAAATGTTAAGAAATATAAGATCTACAAAAAGTCACAACATGGCCATAATGGGCAATGATTGATCCCTTATAGGAGATGTTAACCTTGAAAGATGATTTTATTCATTTTTTGCAGAAATTATAATAGGGATCTTCAAGTAAGTCAACGGGGCCTTTTATAGCCGGTTTTTCTCATTGTTGAAGGCCGTACGGTTGCCTATAATTGCTTCCATCCAATTTATTTGAACTTTGGTGTATATTTGTCTCATTGGCAATCATACCTCATCTCCTTGTTTTTATATGACAATAGTCGTCAGACTCCTTATAGGATTTATTGCCCTTCAATGACAATGTTTTACTAATTTTCATAATTTTGCAATTACCCCGAAAAGTTTGATTAAAAGGTAGAAACTGTAAACAGTAAACAGCATCATCAGTATGCAATCTACAAAAATGCATCTAAAGAGGGTAATATTTACAAATTAGAAACATAACTGATTGCAGTAAACGTCAAATAAAATATCAAAATAGCATATTTTACCAGGTGAGCGATTCAGCGTCATGTTTTATAGATGGGTTGGGTTGCTCTTAAAGCTCTTCAATGAAGAAAAATACATATGTGTTAACCAATATAGTGAAACGAGAGAGAGAGAGAGAGAGAGAGAGAGAGAGAGAGAGAGAGAGAGAGAGAATTATTTCGAGGAGAATCTCATTAAAACATACATTTTTCAGACAGCGTTGTCATGATTCGGACCGGTGTTGGTTTTCTGGTACTATGGTTATACTTTGAAGGTAAGTCTGTAAATATCTAGGTAAGTATACTGTCTAGTGGACATTATGTGATTCAGTACTTAAAACTAACATGATTAATATCGTAATTACTTCACATGCACAACCATCTAGAAATAACTGTAAAATATACCTTGCTCGAAATTAAAATAATATACTTACATATAGCTGGGTATGAGTAAAAAAGGATGATATATATGGAATAAACGTGATCCGACAATCAGACGTCTTGGTTAACTAACATAAGTACTATAAAAATAAATAAGTCTAGAATGGTACTTGGTATAGTCCCCAATAATGCTATAATACAATTCTGTCTAGAGTATTGGAGTTTAATGATGTGTAAATATAAATGTAATAACTTGAATTCCTTTACAGTTCTATTCTGTCAAAACCTCCTTAGAGCCTGTGTTGTATAATTAACTTATGCCGAATCAAAATAAATGTTTATCTTTACAGTTACTTATAGTTACAAGAGGGTCTGCTTCTTCACGAACTGGTCACAATATCGGCCCGGTATTGGAGAATATAAGGCGGATAAGATAGATCCATTTTTATGTACCCATGTGATATATGCATTTGGCAAAGTATCTGGGAATACAATTCAGCCATATGAACAGAATGACATCAAAGAAAATAGTAAGTTAATACTGGTTGTACCACTGTTACTGTTGGTTTGTTTTTGTACAATTTAATTTCAATATGCCTATGCTCTAAAATCATTTCTTTCTAATTGGTTGATTGATTGATCAATGGTTACTTAACGTCCAGCGGCTCTGTCACAACGTAACCATCCGAAGGAAAAACTCAACTGTTACCATGACACATTATTCTGACTCCGAGCCGACCAGTGTTTGTTCTTACTCCTATACATGCATACAACTTTGTTTATGTAAGAGAATGATAATCCTTTTCTTCATGATAAAGTACGAGCGTTAGCGAGTACTTATCATGATAAAAAGGATTATCATTCTCTTACAAACTTAGAATATTGTAAAGTGCTCTAGGCTCAAATGATCTCTTGATTGATTTCATTCAAGAATTTGTTTCATTATCAGTGCAATGTTTATAATTAGAATATAGCAAAGTGCTCTCGACCAATGAAATTGTAGGACTTGATGTTTCTTAATTGTGAAGAATGAATGTAGATCATTGTTCTTAGTAAGGGATTATCCTATTATTTAGGTCTATTTACAGCTGAAAACAAAGAGTTTCTATAAATGAGTTACAACTGCCCTGAAGCACATTTTGAGATTGAAAGGATTTATCACACAGTGACTAAAAGTTGATTTGTGAAACAAACAAAAAAAAATCAAAATAAGTTGAAATTTACTGGTGCAGTAAAATTGGTACCTTTAATTTCATTATGAAAATATTAATAACTTCAAATTACTAAAAAATTGAATAATATCAAAGCAATGCAAAAAAAAAAAAAGAAAAAAAAATTAAATAAAAAATAACCTAAATCTTTAGTTATCCCAAATTCTGAATACTGGACCAGCGGTTGTGAAGAATAGTTATTTCCAATATTCCGATAAAATAAAAAAAAAACCCAAAAAACAGGGATTTAATTTAAATTTTGAATATGTTCAATACTTTTAAAGGCATTTTATTTGAACATTCCCCTGACTGAATGAAATAGTATTTGATTTAAAAAGCCGAACCAAAATATTGCCTGTGAAATAAAATTAGTTGTAACTCAAAAGTATTTATTGATTTAAACTGAAAATAAACAAAGGATAATTCCTCAATAAAATATTACATGATTTACAGTCATACTCACAATCAGGAAACATATACAATTCCTACTTTTTCTTTGTACTGTTGTGTGACCTAATGTCTATAACTCATTTTTTTCATATTTCCCAAATAATAAGAAAGTCCTTACATCACTAAAACTAATCCATAAATGAAATGCCGAAAAAGGAAGTCATGCATCAATTATAAACATTGGAATGACAATGAAACTAATTCTTGAATACAACCAATCAAGAGATCATTTGAGCCTTGAGCACTTTACAATATTCTAAGTTTGTAAGAGTATGATAATCCCTTACTTCATGATAAGTACTCGCTAACGCTCGTACTTAATCATGAAGAAAGGGATTATCATTCTCTTACATATACTTAATGGCTGACTTCCCTTTTAGACCTTTTCAACAACTCTCGACACCGACTAATGACACCTACAGTTTACAGGTAAAATGAAGGGGTCGTCTCAAAATTAAAAATCATTCTTGAATAGTATCACGCTTACACCTACACTATTTTGACGAAAGAACATATTTTAAACAAATATGAACTATATTTCTCTCCTTTGTATAATATTCTTATTACATGTATTTATACGACATTTTACGTTGAATCTATTAAACCTTCGAGCAGGTCTGGAGGGCCTGCCCCCCCCCCCCCTTTTTCGTGGGAAAAATTTGGTTGATTATATAGGGAATCACTGAAGCATGACTCGAGTGAGGCCCCCCCCTTTTTATGTCAGTCAGCGGGCCCCCCTTATGAAAAGTTCTGGATCCGCCACTGATGCGTATGGTATTTATATCTCAACAGTTATTGCAGTGTCTTTTTTGACAGTGCCGAACTGATTGATCGTTATAGGTTGTCCGTGTCCCGAAAGACAACATACCTTTTCCCTTTGTCGTAGATTGGGGTCTTTAACCAAAAATCAGACTATGCGGTAACTCTGAATGTCTGTTTTATATGTTGCATTGTGTGATTTTTTTTCCCCACTGCGGAAGTCATAAAAATAGCAATAAAAGAGAAAAAAAAGCTTACGATTTGAATCTTAATCTGAATCAGAAGTGACACCAAGGGCCTTTAAAAATCTTGGTATCTATTTTGCTATGAATTTATTGTACTCCGGCTGATTCTCGCGAATGAGGTTCATTTGTTGGCGCTATTTTGCTTTAAGTTTGCTTTGGTCGTACAACATTAGGGCGAGGCAATTCATCAGCTTCTTCCTCTCTCTGGTCAACTACTTCATTTGGTTGCCGGGGAGCAGGTCCAGCGACGGCACAGTAAACCGGATTATTTAAAGAAAAAGCTCTTGTCAACAGATAATTAACATTGATTAACTAAACATCTACTACAAAACTACAGGTTTTTTTTTTGTTTCTTTTTTTTTTTATTTTCAACTCGACGTCTAAAAGAAATGAAACATTGAAGTCCTTCCTTTTCTTCATAGTCAATTCACAAGTAAGTTTAATTTTGATAAACAAACAAAATAAGGTACGGTACACAATAATTGCTTATATACACGTCATGTTGGATAGTGGTCTCATTGGCAATAAAATAATCATTTGCGATCAATAATCTTTTTTTCAATTTTATTTTTGAGACGACCCTCATATCTCACCTGTCGTAGTCGTTCTGAACTGTAGGTGTAGACAATTGTTGAAAAGGTCTAATAAGCATTTCATTTATGTATTGGTCTTAGTGATGTAAGGACTTACTTTTAATTTGGTAAATTTGAATCAGTTGTGTTTTAGACATTAGATGACAAACCGTTACAATGAAATTGTATAAGTTTCCTAATTGTGAGTATGAGTGTAAATTATGTAATATTTTAGTGAGGAATTATCTTTTTGTTTATTTACAGTTCAATTTAATAAATTCAAAATCAGAGTTACAACTAAATTGTATTCCACAGCCAATTTTATTACAGCTCTTTACTTTAATCACTACTTAATTAACTAAAATTTAAATGCTGAAAGAAATTGCTTTTTATAAGAAATTCAAAAGAAAATTCAATTTCCTGTATGTATCGGTATTTTGGAAATGACTATTCTTACAGTAATCTGAGTTTTGATAAGCGTAATACATGTAGGTAAAGATTTAGATTATATTTATCTTTTTAATTTTTCTTCTTGATATTGCTTATTTTTTTGTAATTTGAAAGTTCTAAATACTCACATAATAACACAAACGGTATCAATTGTACTGCACAAGTAAACTTCAAACTTCAAACAGTTGTTGGCATGACACGGGTTATGTTCTTCTCATATATGTTATGATGGTATGATACTAAACCCCTAACGGGAAGGATTGTGCCTGATATTCATATGATGAAGACATACTCTTTCAATCAGTTTAATTGAAGTCTGGAGCTGGCATGTCAGTTAACTGCTAGTAGTCTGTTGTTATTTATGTATTATTGTCATTTTGTTTATTTTCTTTGGTTACATCTTCTGACATCAGACTCGGACTTCTCTTGAACTGAATTTTAATGTGCGTATTGTTATGCGTTTACTTTTCTACATTGGCTAGAGGTATAGGGGGAGGGTTGAGATCTCATAAACATGTTTAACCCCGCCGCATTTTTGCGCCTGTCCCAAGTCAGGAGCCTCTAGCCTTTGTTAGTCTTGTATTATTTTTAATTTTAGTTTCTTGTGTACAATTTGGAGTTTAGTATGGCGTTCATTATCACTGAACTAGTATATATATTTGTTTAGGTGCCAGCTGAAGGACGCCTCCGGGTGCGGGAATTTCTCGCTGCATTGAAGACCTGTTGGTGACCTTCTGCTGTTGTCTGTTCTATGGTCGGATTGTTGTCTCTTTGACACATTCCCCATTTCCATTCTCAATTTTATTCAAACATATTTTGATTATTTTTGTGTGTTTCAAAATTCAACTTTCAATCAATAATCCAAATAAATGTGCTTCAGGTACTTGTAACTCATTTATACAAATTCTTTGTTTTAAACTGTAAATAGGCCTAAACAAAAGGATAATCCCTTACTTAGAACATGATTTACATTCATTCTTCACAATTAAGGAACACCAAATTCTACACTTTCATTGGTCAAGAGCACTTTGCTATATTCTAACTTGACGTAGACACAGTATGTACTAATGTAGAGGTCTCTAGTAGAGAACGCTGAATGAGATTTAAAATTTGTGAGTAAATATTCACTTACCTTATGTCAACAATGATAATGTTGATTTAACATCCTTTGAATTTGAATATTTCAGACAGAGACTGACAAAGTTTTGTCCCGATGTTAGTTCGTGCTAAAATAGACAACATATTGGTCGCCTTATATTATTTACGCAAATCTATATTAGTATGTCAAATTATGAACAACATGATATACCCTGCTAGTATTGATTTAACTCTGATTGCGAATAATGAGCGACAGTTTGCCAGACAAGACATTTAACAGAAATCTAGATTTAAAGCCATTTTTAGTCGAGGAAGAAGATATCAGTTTGACTATATATCAAGGGAAAAACTAAATTAATAGTCGTCGAAGAACTCAAAAAACTATACCCCCCCCCCCCCTAAAAACCCCAAACTAACTAAAGAACAAACTACAGACAACAAAGCACTAAAAAATTAAATACTGAGCACAGGTAGGTTTATCTTTTTATACATCAAGATATTTTATTTTAGTTGGTTTTTGATCAAAATTTTGAATAACTCAGTCTTTCAGACTGCCATTAACGTTTTGCTTGTAATTTCAAGTAGAAATGAAATTCTTCGAAACATATTTTTTACTTTCTGCTTTGCCCTTTTGTTCTTGAGAACATTCATTGCAAAAAATGTGTATGAAACTACTTTTTCTACTTGATTCATTTTTTAAGGTAAAGGTCAGTATGAAATGGCAAGTGAACTCAAATTAATCAATCCGGAATTAAAAATTCTATTAGCAATTGGCGGATGGAATCATGGAAGCGAACCATTTTCTGCATTGGTGTCAGACCAGTCAAACATGGATGCATTCGCAGAGAGCTCATTGAATTATCTCAGAACACATGGTTTTGATGGCCTTGATATTGACTGGGAGTATCCTGGTAGCAGAAATAGCCCCCCGGAGGACAAATATAGATTTACAACATTGGTCAAGGTTAGTGACACATTATTTTAATTGATTGTAAAGAAAATAAGATTATGAATAATTAAGATGTTCCTTCATACTTTAATGAGGTTCAGGTTCAAGGTTCAATAGTTAATTATAGTCTCATCACATCCATACAAGTATAAACACAATATGACATTTAATACACAATATAAAATTTAGATTGATTGATTGATTGATTGTTGGTGTTTTAACGCCACTTTTAAACGCCACTTTTGGGCTATTTCGTGGCGGTCAGTTTTTATGGGTGGATGAAGCCGGAGTGCCCGGAGAAAACCACCGACCTTCGATAAGAAAACTGACAATCCTAGTCAATAAAGATTGGAGTCGAGTGCAACCGCATGAGCGGGGTTCGAATTCACAACCTCAGTGTTGACTGGCTAGTGATTACAGTAATAGAACTACTTAGACCACTTGGCCACCGAGGCCCCCTATACAATTTAGAATGCATGTGCCATTCTTAAATGAACTATGTGAGACTGTTATATACAATATTAAAACATCAGAATAAAACATAGTTTTGCTATTTACACAAAACACAAAAGTGCAATATCAACATGAACATTCATGGATAAAAATGATACATGTACATAGAAATAGCATCTTCAAATTTCAACGATATAAAATACTATTTCGTCGCAATAAAATATTATGGCAGGCTTTGGCAACAGAACTACAAACATTTTCATTTTTGAATAAAAATATAAATTTTTCATCGTCTGATAAAGTTAAAAACATTTTATTATGTTGATGAATTATATCAATGAATAAAGACTGTCTTAGATCTTCATATAATGGACATGTTAACAATACATGTTTTTCATCTTCTATATTATCACAATTGAAACACAATCTTTTATCTAAATCTAATCTTTCATAACGACCAGTTTCAATTTTAAAAGGTGCTACTCCACATCTAAATTTAGCATATGCACTGCGACACCGAGTAGGTATATTTTGTAACAAATATAGTTCAGTAGAGTATGAAAATTTAAACAATTTATAAGTTCTCAACTTATTTCCTTGACCATAAGAATCAAGGCTTGTACTCCATGCAGTTTTATAATTATCAAAAATATTTTCTTCTAACTGATAAATTGTATTTTTATCCAGTATATACTCATCTACATTACACAATCTGTCCATATTGTAAAGTTTCAACATTTCCATAACTTTATAACTCCAATTTTTAATTCTATAACTACCTTTTCTAATTGACAATATAAACACTTTATAATTTATTCTGTCATTATCCATTTTTGTACATCCTACCCAGTGTCTTAAAATGTTAGACCACTGTTTAACATATTGAGGCTTCCAACCCATGTCACCTGAAACAGCATCATTGGGAGGATACTTTCCAACTCCCATATAAAATCTCATGGCTGGGTTCTGAACTGCTGAAATGCAAGAGAACTCACTCGTACCCCAAATAGCTGAGCCGTAATTGATGACTGACAAAACTAAATTTTCAAACAATTTGGTGAAAATATTCTGTTGGAAGCCACCATGTGCCTTACATTTTACAATAAGAAGGCCTTATGCTCGACTTGCTGACTTTGCAACTCCCTTTGCCATAACTTTGTAATCCAAAAATTCATTTAATACCAATCCTAGATATAGATAGCCAGAAACATAATTAATGACTTGATCTTATCACAGAGGGATTTCTAAAATGCATGATTTTTGATTTACTTATATTAACTTTTAAACAATTATTATTACACCATACACCTAATACATCAATCAATTTCTGCATATCTTCTGTATTTTCAGACAATAATACAAGATCATCTGCATATACAAAATAGCAACCTTTTCACCGTCTACGTCTATACCAACATTTAATTCTTTAATATCATCAATTAACTTATTAATGAAAATATCAAACATGACTGTGGATAAAACACATCCTTGTTTTAAACCAATATTAACACTAAACCAATCAGTAGTGTTACCGTTCACACGAACACAGCATTCTATATTTGAATTAATGGCTTGCAAAGCAAACATAAACTTTGTACTAATACCTATATCATTTAATTTGTTAAACAATAATGACCTGTCAATTGTATCGTATGCCTTCTTAAAATCTATAAAGGAGACAAAAGTTGACAGTTTACACTTTTTCTAGTTTCTATAATTGATGTCAGAGAGGAGACATGGTCAATTGTACTCCTGCCTTTAATAAAACCATTTTGTTCATCATTAATTATCTCCCTTTCATCTAACCATTCAGTTAATCTATTATTTAAAACACTACAATACAGTTTGTAAGCACATGGTGCTAAAGTAATACCTCTGTATGACAATGGATCTCTAGGATCAGAAGTTGAACATTTTGGTATTGGATTAATTATACCTTTATTCCAAGTATTTGGAATTTTACCAGATTTAAAACATAAATCAAATAATTTTGTTAAGTACAAATTACTATGAAATTTTTACACAGTTCAGACTGAATTAAATCTACACCTGGCTTTTTGTTATTCTTTGAACTCATAACAATATTGTGAACTTCATCAAAAGTAATTTCATTATCTAATAAATCACAAACAATAATATTTTCTACATTTAAATCTTCATTTACAACTATAGGATCTGTGTTGTTACTCTGATTTAACAAATTATAAAAACAATCTTTCCATTTATTCAATACTGAGTCCAAATTGTTTGTTACAAAGCCATCTGACAGCACAACTTCATTCGGAATGGCTTACTGTCTTTCGTTGCCTATACCAATGTTACCAATTTTTTCGCCAAAATTGTTTGGAGTCATTATTGTTCATATATAACAAGTCTTCTTGGCATTGGTGCCAATAACGGCGTTTAGTTTGTTGAACAAGTTTATCAAAGTCCTTTCTCTTGTTCAAATACAGAGTTCTTAATGCAGATTTATTGTTATTGTTCGTACAACGCATATACTGGTTTTCGGCTAAACATGTTTCATTCCATTTTATCCTGCAATCGACCTCTCTACTATACTAACACAGGTATACAGATAACATGAAGCCATATACGTAGACTAGACGGATACAGTCTCCTGGTATCCTGCTTCTGTTGCGAGCGAACGGTTATGTCAAATTAATGTTTACGTTACAGGTCAATTTGGGGTCCTCATCACGGTCCGCGTTTAAGTCATGTCGATTTCTTTCAAAAACAAATTCAACGATTGGGATGGAAAAAAAATGTACAAAATTCATTACAGGATAAAGACAATAACTGTATACTAGTGTCTTTAAATATCAGCTGTATTTGTACTCGGCTCGAAACAGGAGTAATAGCTCACTGAAGCTCGCATTACACCTGTTTCTTAGCCTCGTACAAATACAGCTGATATTTAAAGACACCTCGAAACAGGAGTAATAGCTCGCTGAAGCTCGCATTACACCTGTTTCTTAGCCTCTAACAAATACAGCTGATATTTAAAGACACTATACAGTTATTGTCTATATAATTACATTACATGTATGTTTCAGAATAATCCGTTATTTTGATGGGATAACAACGCTTGCGCGTCATACTAAAATAAATCTTCATATCCCAATGAAGCGTAACATTCATGATGACAGTGCCATCACAATAAAGTGCACAGGTTAATTAAAGAAATAAATGATAGAAATCGGGTTTTCATGACCCTAGCATAAAAATGTAATTATAAGAATTGAATGCTTCTTTTAGTAATTTTATAGGGTTGTAAAAGTGTTGATCGTGCGCACATATCTAGAATGAAGCGCTTCTACGCTTCGTACAAAATGTGCTTCGGTCAACACTTTTTTACATCCCAATAAAATTACAAAAAGAAGCATTCAATTCTTAATTAAAGTCAAGTCATTAGACCACCACGGTTTCTTGAAACGTCTTCTTTTATTGTTACAACTATTCAAAAGTTTTGTTTTCGTATTTAGTTTAGAATTCATCTCATTATGTATTATATTAACAAATTATGTATTATATTAACAAATTCACAATATATATTATCTACATCAGCTTGATTACCATTACTTTTTTCTATATCCATAATACATGAATTTATACTATTTATCATATTTTCATCTTGAAACCAACTATTCGGAATATTTTTTACATCATATATAACACGCTTTTGAAAATTCTGATTTTTTATATTGATATTTTCCTTTTCAATATTACCACACATATAATTTTCCATTTCCCAACACAATATGGAATGATCAGGAATAAATCTGGGTTCAACTGACCCAATAGAAACACTTTTGTTAGCCAATTCACTAGCTCTAATAACCTCAAATTTCTTAAAACAATTTAAATTTTCATATGGTACGACACAATAATCGACAACTGATGAACCTCGTGTTGATATACAGGTTAAATCATTTCTTATGCTATTTCTGCCATTTAATACACAACAATTTATGAGACAGCAAACTTGAAAGCCTTCTAGAGCTTGACATAAGACCCTCAATAATAGGTACATAGCAATATAGAAAACTCTAAATGATGTAAATGGATTTAACAGAGTATTTCAAAGGGTAGCTGTATAACATAAATTAAAGATTTAACTTTTTTTGCAGACATTACGTTCAAAGTATGACGACGAAGTGTTGTCCGCCGGACGGTCACGACTGTTATTAACAGCTGCTGTTTCAGCAGGCAGTGGAATAGTAGAATCTGCATATGAAATGGACAAAATATCACTGTAAGTAAAGCAATTAGTTATGTCAGTTGTACATTTAGGGGGGATATAAAAAGTTACCGAGGAGGGGGGAGGGGGTACCAACAAAAGGTAAAAAAACAACGTATAACAATTAATAATTAGTAATTTTGGATCAACTAGACATGTAACTGTAAAAAATTGCGATGACAAATATAAATTTTCTTTTGTGAAATCACAATTTCTGTCTAAACATTATTCTGTCTTTCTTTGCCACAATAGACAAAAAATGGGAATAAACTATTTAAGACAGTACATCATGTAGGTTGTGTATACATATTTTACTACTCCAAAATGGAAAATTTATTCTCACGTTTAATTGTCATATATATCCATATTTAACCGTAGTTCGCAATGCATTGATATACACATGGAGCAGACAATACTTCCGAAATTTACCCAAAGGAACTTAATTTAAATAAATCAAATATTATCAGCAATCTTTCCTAGATTTAGATATTTCAGATTTACAGGAGAAACTCTTCAAAAAAATTTACGACAAAAGGGACGATTTTTCTTTCCCTATTGTTAATTTTCCTTTTTTGGACGGTGATGTTCCTTTGGCACCGTCTTACGGTGTTTATATATCCCAACTCGTTCGTTATGCCCGTGTCTGTAGTGACGTATTGGATTTCTTGTAAATAACTAGTAAATTATTCAAGGATTAGTTACCACAAATAACTGAAAACCTTAACTAGTTCTTCCATAGACTTGGTTTGAAAGTTTGGCTGTACCTGTAGAAAACTTATTTCAAACAGAATAGCACATCCTAATTTTTATAGTGATGTTGTTTATCGAGCCTGGAAATCTAGATACGATCCTTGAAATAAACTAAAAGGTTACCAATTCAATACTGTTATTTGATCTTTTTAAAAATATTGTTTTTATTGGTATAAATATTGATTTTGTTATCTGTAAATTAAAACCATACTAAATATTATCATATGCACTTTCTTGGTTCTACAATTTGTCGGTAACTTTATTATGGCATTGAACAAGAACATGTTTTTCTCTGGTTGTTAAAGACGTCTTTACACTAAATTCCTAATTTACTAATTGATTTTTTTAGTCTAAGATACATGATTTCTTTTATTAGTTGTTATTAGTTTAAACTAGCTTTCAATTACTGCGAGTACTCTCAAGTCTGTACTTTGTGTCTTTTTTATGTGAGGGATGTATAAGTAACCTGCCACGTCCGGTGTGTGGTTTTGTTAGATGTTTTCTGCTTTGTCGCGATCTGATTAGTTAAGCCCTTTTCAACTGATTTTTATAGTTTTTCTTATGTTGTAGTGTTACACCACTGTCCCAGGTTAGGGGAGGGCTGGCGCCTTCAAACATGTTTAACCCCGCTACATTCGTTATATGCCTGTTCCAAGTCAGGAGCCTGTATGTCAGTGGTTGTCGTTGGTTCATGTCTGTCATATTTGCTTTTCGTAAATTGCTTTGTTATAAATTAGTCCGTTAGTTTTCTCAATTAAATTGTTTCAAACTTTTCTATGTCGGGGCCGTTTATAGCCGACAATACGGTATTGTTTCTTCTCATTTTAGAAGGCAGTACGGTCGCCTATAATTGCTTGTATACGCTTTTGAACTTTGGTAGGTAGTTATCTCAATTGAATTCATACCACATCTCCTTATTTTTATATAACTAGATAAGATGGCAAATAATCAGTAGTTAATGGTTTCTACAAATAAATCATAACCTATAAACCTATCATATTCTAGAAATAAAACTTATAACCGCCACGAAATCTGCTTTATACTATTTCTGAAATAACCTCTTTCTAGGTTATGTTTAAGTATTGTTATGTTTCTGCTCTAAAACATAAGAATAAGGAGTATCGTCTTTGAAAAGAAAATAAGCTTCTGTTTAGAAAAGTAATAACTATTTCTAAATGAACACTTATATAAAAGTTCAAATGATTTTTAAGAATGCAGTTATATAAATGTTATGTTATGTATTTTCAGGTATTTGGATTTTATAAACCTAATGACGTACGATTTTGTTGAAGATTATAACACAGTAACAAGCCACAACAGTCCATTTAATGACTCAGCAATTTATGGCTTCAATGTTGTAAGTGCGGAAATTATCAGAAGATCATATTTTCAACAGATTTTTACATTTTGTTTTAAAGTTGTACTTTTACCCAACTCTCTTAGGTTAGAGCCAAAATGTCTTACCCCGCCATTTCTTTATTTTGCCTGTCTCAAACCAGAAGCCTGTAGTTCAGTGATATCATTGTATATGGTGTGTGGATGTTCTATTGATCTTAGTTTAGTGTTATTAGCCTAGATAACGTCGTTGATTTTCTGTTTTGAAGTGTTCCACATTTTGTTATTCCGGGCCTTTCTTACTATCTTTGTCTTTTCGTCGTTTTTCGTTTTTAGCTCACCTGACCCAAAGGGTCAAGTGAGCTTTTCTCATCACTTGTCGTCCGTCGTCCGTCGTCGTCGTCGTCGTTAACTTTTACAAAAATCTTCTCCTCTGAAACCACTGGGCCAAATTAAACCAAACTTGGCCTAAATCATCCTTAGGGTATCTAGTTTGAAAAATGTATCCGATGACCCCGCCTACCAATCAAGATGGCCGCCGTGGCTAAAAATAGAACCTAGGAGTAAAATGCAGTTTTTGGCTTATATCTCTGAAACTAAAGCATTTATAGCAAATCTGATATTGTTAAAAATCTTTATCAGGTCAAGATCTATCTGCCCTGAAATTTTCAGGCAAATCCGACAACCTGTTGTTGGGTTGCTGCCCCTGAATTGGTAATTTTAAGGAAATTTTACAGTTTTTCTCGAGCTTGCGACTTTTGTCGCGGAAAGCTCGACATAGGGAAAGTGATCCGGCGGCGGCGGCGGCGGCGTTAACTAACTTCTTAAAAGCTTAATATTTCAGAAGGTAGAAGACCTGGATGCTTCATACTTTGTATATAGATGCCTTATGATATGAAGTTTCCGTCTGCAATATGTCCATTGTCCTTGACCTCATTTTCATGGTTCAGGGACTTCTTGAAAAAAAGTTAAGATCTTTTGTAATGTTAATTTCTCTCTTATTAAGAGTAATAGGATAACTATATTTGGTTTGTGCGTACCTTGCAAGGTCCTCATGCCTGTCAGACAGTTTTCACTTGACCTCAACCTCATTTCATGGATCAGTGAACAAGGTTAAGTTTTCGTGGTCAAGTCCATATCTCAGATACTATATGCAATAGGTCTACTATATTTGGTGTATGTAATGATTGCAAGGTGTACATGTCCAACTGGCAGGTGTCATCTGACCTTGACCTCATTTTCATGGTTCAGTGGTAATAGTTTAGTTTTTGTGTTTTGGTCTGTTTTTCTAATACTGTATGCAATAGGTCAACTATATTTGCTGTATGAAAATATTTTACGATGTACATGTCAGTCTGGCAGGTTTTATATGACCTTGACTTTGTTTTCACGGTTCATTGCTCAATGTTAAGTTTTTGTGTTTTGGTCTGTTTTTCTAATACTGTATGCAGTAGGTCAACTATATTTGGTCTATGGAAATATTTTACGATGTACATGTCAGTATGGCAGGTTTTATTTGTCCTTGACCTCATTTTCACGGTTCATTGCTCAATGTTAAGTTTTTGTGTTTTGGTTTATTTTTCTAATACTGTATGCAATAGGTCAACTATATTTGGTCTATGGAAATAATTAACGATGTACATGTCAGTCTGGTAGGTTTTATCTGTCCTTGACCTCATTTTCATGGTTCATTGCTTATGTTTTTGTTTTTGTATTTGATCTGTTTTTCTTAAATTTAAGCAATAGGTCAACTATATTTGTATGTAGTGATTGTAAGGTGTATATGTCTGTCTGGCAGGTATCATCTGACCTTGATCTCATTTTCATGGTTCATTGGAAAATGTTCAGTTTTCATGGTTAACTTTGTTTCTCAGATACTATAAGCAATAGATCAACTATATTTGATGCATGGAATGATTTTAAGGTGTACATGTCTGTCTGGCAGGGTTAATCTGACCTTGACTTCATTTTCATGGTTCATTGGTCAATATAGAATTCCCATGGTTTAGTCTGTTTCTTTTATACTATAAGCAATAGGTCATCTAAATTCTGTGTATGGAATAATTGTATTAAAGGTGTACATGTATTTCCGGCTTGGTTTATCTGACCTTGACCTCATTTTCTTCGATCATAAATGTTAATGTGATACTTGTAGTAAAACTTTATATGTAGGACTATCAACATAAAATCAATGGTCAGTATAGTAGGCGAGACATTTCAGCGTGTGCACACTTGTTGGTTATTATCTTGAATATAATAATAGATAGAGATAAACTGTAAACAGCAGAAATGTTCAGCAAAGTAAGATCTACAAATAAGTCAAATGACCAAAATTGTCAATTGACCCCTTAAGGAGTTATTGCTTTTTAAAGTCAAATTTTATCAATTTTTAGTAAATTTTTGTAATCTTTTACAAAAATCTTCTTCTCTGAAATTACTGGGCCAAGTTAAACTAAACTTGGCCTAAATCATTCTTAAGGTTTCTAGTTTTAAAAATGTGTCCGATGACCCTGCCCACCAACCAAGATGGCTGCCATGGCTACAAATAGAACATGGGGGTAAAATGCAGTTTTTGGCTTATATCTCTGAAACTAAAGCATTTAGAGCAAGTCTGACTTTACATGTAGGACTATCAACATAAAATCAATGGTCAGTATAGTAGTCGAGACATTTCAGCGTGTGCACACTTGTTGGTTATTATCTTGAATATAATAATAGATAGAGATAAACTGTAAACAGCAGAAATGTTCAGCAAAGTAAGATCTACAAATAAGTCAAATGACCAAAATTGTCAATTGACCCCTTAAGGAGTTATTACTTTTTAAAGTCAAATTTTATCAATTTTTAGTAAATTTTTGTAATCTTTTACAAAAATCTTCTTCTCTGAAATTACTGGGCCACGTTAAACTAAACTTAAATCATTCTTAAGGTATCTAGTTTTAAAAATGTGTCCGATGACCCTGCCCACCAACCAAGATGGCTGCCATGGCTACAAATAGAACATGGGGGTAAAAAGCAGTTTTTGGCTTATATCTCTAAAACTAAAGCATTTAGAGCAAATCTGACAGGTATAAAAATGTTCATCAGGTCAAGATCTATTTGCCCTGAAATTTTCAGGCAAATCAGACAACCCGTTGTTGAGTTGCTGTCCCTAATTGGTAATTTTAAGGAAATTTTGCTTTTTTTGGTTATTATCTTGAATATTATAATAGATAGAGATAAACTGTAAACAACAAAAATGTTCAGCAAAGTAAGATCTACAAATAAGTCAAATATGACCAAAATTGTCAATTGACCCCTTAAGGAGTTATTGCCCTTTAAAGTCAATTTTTCACAATGTTTTGTAAATGTTTGTAATCTTTTACAAAAATCTTCTCCTTAAATTACTGGGCCAAGTTAAACCATACTTGGCCTAAATCATCCTTAGGGTATTTAGTTTTAAACATGTATCCGATGACCGCGCCCACCTACCAAGATGGCTGCCATGGCTAAAAATGCAGTTTTTGGCTTATATCTCTGAAACTAAAGCATTTAGAGCAAACATAACGGGGTTAAAATGTTCCTCAGGTCTACATGATCAAAATTGTCAATTGACCCCTTAAGGAGTTATTGTCCTTTAAAGCCTATTTTTCACTATTTTTGGTAAAAAATCTTCTCCTCTTAATCTACTTGGCCAAATGGAATTAAACTCAGCCACAATTATTATTAGAGGATCTTGATTGAAAAATATATCCGATGACCCTGCCCTACAACCAACATGGTCTCCATTGGTAAAAATAGAACATAGGGGTTTATCATAGAAGTCTATGGGAAAAATGTAAAAAAAACCAATTTCAAATGGTCACAACTTGAAAACTGATTTAGATAATGATAAGGGGTCTTCTGTAACTAATTGTTAATAGCGTTTGACTTTTTTTAGTTTTTATGGACTTTCCCTTTTTGAATTTGCCTTGGATTTTAAATTTTTTATTAGCTCCTTAACGTTTGTATTAAGTTTTGGGTTTCCGATTTCTATACCTCTAGCATCACTGAAGAGACCTTATATGACGAAATGCGCCTTTGGTGCAGCAAAATTGGTACACATTTATGTTGCCATTTGATTTTTGAGAAATCACAAAATGTTGAGAACTTCTATATCCACACAAGCATACACCTACCATCCTGATTTATACCAATTGCAATAATGTACTTATAACAGGATTATGCAGTTAAAATGTGGTTAAATGGAGGAGCTCCGAAAGAAAAACTGATCATGGGATTACCTTCATACGGAAGATCTTTCACATTAAGTAATACCATGGAAACAGGTTTAGGGGCGCCATCTATTGGTCGTGGTACAGCTGGACCTTATACAAGAGAGAAGAGTGTCTTAGCTTATTATGAAGTAAGATTATGCATGCAGTTATACCAATAGTTACCGTAACTAACTTATCATGATTATGATGGCCATTGTTCGGTCATATTAATCAATACGTCTTTTGGTCTTGAACATCCTGTTTGGGTTAAAGTTTTCCTCTTGATGCTAAATCACGAAAAGCGCATGTTTTACATTTATAATAGAACATGTAAAAGCATCAAAACAATAGAGTGGTGAACAGAGGAATATTTTAGCCTGAGCGAGTTGAAATCTTAATTTTAGTAGAATTGAATTATTTCTCTACTGGAAAATCAAAACCAAAATATATCATTTCAGACATTCCAGTAAAAAACCGTCTACTATTGAAATTGAACATTGAAGTCCATCATCACATTTGTTATCTAAAAAAAATCACATCATCCAATGGTAATTAAAAACAAATGAAAATATATTTTATTCAGTCAAGTGGATGAAATTGTAAAACTGTCTTCTTTTTTTTATAAAGATTTGTTCAAAAATACAAACAGAGAACTGGACGGAGGTCTGGCTTGACAAACAACAAGTGCCATATGCATATCATGGAAACCAATGGGTTGGGTTTGATAATCTTAGAAGTATTGAAATAAAGGTGAGGGTTACATGTAAGATCTTCAAAATTAAATAGCGAATAATGTCTATTACAATATCTAAGACCACTTGTCCGACAGCATGTTTTAAACTTTTCGTTTAATTTATGCTAGATATCCTTAACTGCACTAGCCAGTATTTATCTTTTTTGAAACTTTTACACTGCCGTTAGTTTATAATGTATTTCACTATTACATCAGTTTAAATTCTCACGATTTTATTCGCATATACCTTGTCAAAAAAATCTGGCCATATATGTTACTTTTATCGTTTCTTAATCAAAGGCTTTCTTCTTGCGTTGTTATAGATTTTGCAGGATGATTCACCGAGTTGTTCAATCTATAAAAAAATATTAACAAAAATACTGCAAGGTAAATTAAAAAAAAAGGAAAGTTCTTAAAACCTGAAAAAACCAAATGCTCGACTCATCAATCTGAATATATTTCTTTAAAAACATAAGGTATTTGCTATTTGTATTTGCAGGTAAACTACATAATATCGAACAATTTAGGAGGAGCTATGGTATGGGCCATTGATCTTGATGATTTTAATGGCACCTGTGGAAATGGTGCCTACCCATTGACTAGTAAAATGAAAAATATGTTCAACGCCTCTTCTCATGAATCGATTTCAACACCGATATCATCAACTGAAGATATAACTACTGGTAAAAGATCTGATGACATTAATAAAGAAACCACATATACATCTACAGAAAGTATTTCTAGTAACATATTCTCAACAAATAAAGCATCTATTAAAAGTGATAAACCAACCAGTCCTTCAACCCAAGAACCCATCTTAACGAGAGAATCAACAACTCATGATACCCTTACTGACAGCAATACACGCAGACAAACTGCAGACACAATAAGCTATAAGTCAAAAACAAATATGGAGTCAACAGATACACTCGAATTAACAACTTTAACAACAAAGCCAACCGTTCAACCTTCAATGCCTGTTTCAAATCTTTCCACTCATATAGAAAATGATATTACAGAGATTACACCGTCGACAAAAACATCTACAGAACATTCCAGTAAAATACTGAAAGAAACTACAAATACCTACAGTCCTGTTTCAATAAGTAATCAAAAAGAAACGTCCGGAACATCTTCAATGCAAACTGGTTTACTATTTTCTACTGTGAAGACATCGACAGAGACATCACATTCAACAGTCCCAGAATTAACCACAAAGTCAGAATCAATCTCGTTGACAGAAACTGACTTTGCAGCTGTTACTTTATCATCAACAACAGCTAATTCAAAGTTACCAGATACACAAGGATATTCACTAGGTATTTATACACTGTTATGATAAAATAAATAGTTGTTCTGTAAATCTATTTTGAACACACACAACGAGAGAGATAGAGAGTACACGAACTTTCAACGGAGATAGACAGGACAAAAACTCATCAAAAGTACCAAAAAAACAAACAAACAAACAAACCAGGGATAAACCAAGATGAAATGTGTTGCTTAGATAAATTAAAATATAAAAATCTTTAATCGGAAAATTTAGATTACATCCGACCCACGCATTTTGATAAAAAAAAATCATCGAAGTTTGGTAAAATAAGTTTACATAGCTAGATATGCTACAAGCAGTTTCCTTTTTAAGATTACAAAACAAGTCAACTGTGGCGTGTGTTATGCGATATTTTATTTATAGCTGTACAATTGAACCAGTGTACAAAATATCATATAAAAAAACCCAGTAGGATTAGCTAGATTGAACCGCCTCCCCCCAAAAAAACCCATAAAAACACACAATCGAATGTCAGAAAATTATTTATTCAGAACGGTATATACTCATGTACGCTCATGTCAGCTTGAAACACTGAACAATATAGTCTATTAGGAGGAACTTTCTAAAATGTTTGCGGCATCAGGTTCTTTGAAAGAGTTAGCTCATTCCATTTATTGAATTTGAATATAATGGATCGCATGTATTAGGGGTGAACGATAACACAAGAGTAAACAGAATGAACTCGATAGTGATATAAAGTTGTTATACAGGAAAATCAACTCCTGTTGCGTATCATTTAGCAACAAGTGTCAAACTGAAGAAGAAATATGACAGCCAGATGACAGTAGACATGTGTGATTTGTTGAGAACCTTGGACAGTATACCGCCTAACCATTTTGTGATGGTGACCCACAAACTATTAAACATGTTATTCGAAAATACTTCAATTCATAACATGTTATTGTGTTCTTTTAATTTGTCTTTGTATATATTTTTTACCTTTACTGTTTAGTCAATTTTTGGTAATATCCTTTTGTCTTGGTTCGGTATTTACACATCCCGCAATCGTGTTATTGTGCTAAGGTCATTTTTTGTATTCTTGTCTTTTATTTTTGCTTATGTGCTTTTTCTATAGAGTGTTTACATGCCATTTTGTTTTTCTTTGTTGACATAGTTATTTGTTTTTATAGTGATTAAGATTATATCACAATGTTGACTACTGTACCTCATTTTTGACATTTTTACCTATTATGTCTGTTTGTTTTGCTCACACATTGTTGTCAATATAATGGAATTTTATATGACTGTCATACAAGTGAGAGGTTTAGCTAGCTATGATACCAGGTTTGATCCACCATTTTCTACAAAAGGAAATGCCTGTACCAAGTCAGGAATATGACAGTTGTTTTCAACGTTTGATGTGTTTGATAAAAAAATAAGTGATTAAAACTGATAGTTTATGATCTTCAAAACAGTTTACTGTTTCCGAAAATGATTGATCAATTCACGAAAGCAAAATTCGTATAGTTGTCTCATCGGCAATCATACCACATCTCCTTATACTTATATTCATAGAAAAATAATTTGAGTCATTTATACATTTCAGATGCAGAGAAGGATTTAGACAACAAATATATTATTATAATTGTTTTGTCGGTGGCCCTGTTCTTATCTTTTCTATGTAATGTAGTTCAATGTATGAATTCACAAAAAGATGACGACAACGAGAACTGCTCCTGCTTCCGAAATCACAAACAGACTTTTCAGATGTCGCATCTATGACCCGAGATATTCAGGCGATGTATTTTAATGTCATACGGCTAAATTCTATTCTCTATCTATTTTTCTTAGATCTTTTTTTTTAAATCTGTACTATAGGAGATTTTATGTATAACCAGGTGCAGTGGACATATAGACTCTTGCATTAACAGAAAATAAAACAAATAAGTCAGACGCGCCTGGAATAATTAGGAATATGTGTCACCCATTGCTTCCGTTTTTTCATGTTCTTTGCCTGTAATCTAAAACAATTTTGCCTCCAACAAAAGCGTTGCCTTTGATTTTGTCTGATTCTTCTACTGTCATCGAGATTTCGATTTGTGATATTTTTTTTATCGACAATTAAAGAAAGCACGTGGAGACATACGGCTAAAGTAGACAATTTTTTTATAATACCAATGTCAACGCGTTCTTACTTTTTGATTTTCATTTTTGTAATATTTTGTCAAGTTTTTCAACAAATCATGTTGTATTTGTTTATATACAATACTTGCAAGTCTGACGGTCAAATGCATTAAAATTCAGACATTTTCATCAATAAATCATAATTAATCTGCATTACAGTAAAGAACTTTGCACGTGCAAGTAATTGCTGTTAAAGATCAGTTTAAAATCTGGTGTCGTTATATAATGATATTCAGTGTATAAATAGAAATGTTTCTATTTACACAATTAACTAATTATGTCATTAGTCACTTATGATTTTACTTTATTCCTCTTGTTAACATATTGTCTAGCTTTGATAATACCGTTAACTAAATATTAAGGTAATATTTTTAACATTTACATAATGCAGGAGTCATGGATGCTTACTTTCTCCCGTAATTTAAGACAAGAATCAATACAGCTAGTAGACCAAATCCAATGCGCAGTTGAAAACATAGAAACCAAAATGTCAAGAAGATCTTCAAAATACGGCTAAGGTTTTCCATGCATATGGGTACAAAACAACATTGCACAAAACTACAAGCAGAAATTGATTCCACTGCTAAATGGGAGGTCGATTAGCCTTCCATCCTGGCAAATGCGCTGTTCTAACCATTACACAGACATACAATTCATTTAGGCATAATACCATCCTGCATGACCATACTTTAGACTTTGTTAAATCAGCAAAATATCTTGGTGTTACCTTAGAGTCAAATAAAAGTATAAAAGTATCAAACAAAAACATCAAATCATGTGCATATCAGTACACAGTGAGACCACATCTGCTGTTTGTGGGATCCTCATACAAGAAAATACAACTAGAAATGGATCAGAGGTGTGCTGCCCGTTATTTATGTAACATATATCATGAACTAAAGTGACAGTAGTTTACTGATGTTCAAATCTCGTAACTCTTTTAGGAAGAGAAAAATCAAAGGAACAAACAAAAACCGAGGGAACCGTATGAACTCATAAAAGAGCGAGACGGGTGTGTCGACAGGGTAAGCATCTTCTGCTATTCATGCATCACTCGTCATGTGAATTCACCCTCAGTCAAAAAGGGGCGAAGGATATAAAAGGGACATTCAAACTCATAAGTCGAAAATCAACTGACAATGCCATGGCTAAAAAACAAAAAAACAAACAGACAAACAGACAAACTACAGTACATAAAACATAACATAGAAAACCAAAGACAGAGTAACACGAACCCCACCAAAACTCGGGTAGATCTCATGTGCTCCAGACGGGTAAGCAGATCCTGCTCCACATGTGGCACCTGTCGTGTTGCTCATGTTAGTACAAACCAGGTGATAATTCTAATTCGGTAGGTCACATTCAGGGAAAAGGGGACGGTATTGTAGTTACGACAATTTGAACCTATCAAAATGTCACAATCAGGAATAGGACAAATAATAGTAGTGTAAGAACAAAGATAAACACCAGGCTGATTAAATTCCTTAAAGTCGTTTGTCGCTAGTCCTCAAGCTAACAAATACTAGAATAAAAAAAACACATAACAAAATATTCCAGACAATTTCTAAATTATGCAACAGATCGTAATCTTCAATACCATGAAGTTGAAACTATATCTGAAGAAGAAGCAAAAATACCGCAATACTTTCCCGACCTTATGGAGCACATGTGGTCATCCTCATATCTGCAAGGGTTTTTTTATATTGTTTCTTTTCTTTCAAATATCTGCGTTTTAAGTAAGTAATTGTCTTTCATCATGGTGTTAATTTGCTATAACCATTTATTGCATTCTTGTATTTCATTTTTGTTTATGTGCTTTGTCTATAGAGTGTCTACATTTCATTTTATTTTTTCTATGTTGACATAGTTGTTTGTTTTTATAGTGAGTAAGATTATAGCTAAATGTTGACTGTTGTACCCCAATATTTGACATTTTTACCTATAATGTCTATTTGTTTTGCTCACACATTGTTGTCAATATTATGGAATTTTATGCGACTGTCATACAAGAGAGAGGTATCGCTAGCTATACAACCAGGTTTGATCCACAATTCTCTACATAAGGAAATGCCTGTATGTGTTTGATCTTTCGAGTTTGCCATTTGCTAAGGGACTTTCCGTTTTGAATTTTCCTAGGAGTTATTTTACTTTTTATCATTTGCACTGAAAAAATGTACGGTTATGATAAAGAAATAATAGTTTTACCAGTAACAAGGATTATAAATAAGGGTTAGACAAAAGACATTTACCAATCTGCTACTTAATATGGCCTTTTTAACAAACGCGATGGTCATATTGACTGTTATATTAAAATTTCAACACTTCACCTTTTGTTGACAAAGATAATGGCCATCGCCTCTCCCTAACATTTCTCATTGAAATCCATTTAACAGATTGATAACTTTGTGTAGTAACTCTTTATCAAAATTTTAAATTTATTCATATGATCAAAAAACTGCTACAGAAGGTTAGCCTTTGCCTTTATCATACCACATTCCTCGTTCATTGTTGCAATCATCTGGTCCGTATGTTTGTCCGTCTGTTCGTCCAACAACTATTTTCGTCACACTTTACTCAGAAACAAGTGATTAGAATGACTTTATATTGGTCAGCAGACTGACAGTGGTGTATTTTTTGGATCTGTCAAATACCAACTTCCTGTTTGCCATTACCTTGAATTTTCTAATATGATGAATGATCTTAAACTTTTGGTCAGATATTTCCCAAATACTACTAATTAGGATGACTCCATATTTGTCAAAGAGCTGAACAGCGATAAAATGTAATGTATATGCGCTTTACGGATCTGTCAGACACCTTTTTCCTAATTTCCGATATTTTGAGATAGAAAGTGGGATTTGCTTAGCACGACAGCACGTGCATTCTGGCTTTTTATTGCAGTCACCAAAAACTTATATAGCAAGTTATTGACTACAAAAAAATTTCCATCTTTAAATTATTGATTAATAGTTAGTATTTATTATTTACAATGTAGTGTCACATTCACTATCTGTGTCTCCCTAGTATTATTGACATCATGTCTACAATAAAAAAAAATATCAAATAGAATTACTATTGCAGGTATATATTTCTTTTATAACACTTAATGATTTATAGTTATGTTCAACACAGTAGTGTTCAAATCATAAAACGATGCTATGTTTAACATTTGACTTAAAGGATAAAGGAAAGATTTTTAGTTAAGAGAAAGTGTGATTAAAGTTTGTATAATACATTGTAAAAACATTTTCTATTATCAAATAGTTCCCAACAAGCTTGGGTTTGATAAATATGTACAATAAATGATAGAACGAGTTACAAAAAGGCTTTCTATTACGCCAGAATAATCTATATTTGTGGACTTTCGATGTTTAGTTGTTATAAAACTGAAGTTTACAGCCAAGCATACCTATTACATTTATGATTTTTAAATTATATTTGTAAAACAATAAACAGTTAATTACCTAATGATATTATCCAACAACTGGTAGTACAGTTGGTACAAAATCGAGTCCTGGTTTTCCACTGAAAACATCTTTCATTGTTTTAATTAAAGGGTTTTTGCCTTGCCCACAAACGCCATGGAAATCATCTAGATCTAATGCCCACATCATACCTCCTCCTAAACCTAGGTCCATAATATATTTTGTCTGTTAGGAAAAAAAAAACAAATAATGGTTAAATTTAAGATAATCCTTGTTAAACGACTATACTGGTAAAACTCTTCTATGATATAACTGTCAACATTTGTTCCAAGTTCGAATTGTCGGTATCTGTTCTAGGTAAAACAGTCTTAAAAAATTTTTCTCTGATTATTAATGAACTCTTTACACTAAAGCCATAGGATGTTGGATGTGTACTGATTGATATTTTAGTCTTAGTTACAAGATTTTTTTATTAGTTCTTATTGGCTTTAAACTAGATTCAAGTAACTGAGAATACTCTCAGATCTGTACATTATGTCTTATGTGTAAAGTGTATTTCGTGCTTTTGAGACTGTAATTCTGTGGTTGTCGTTTGTTGCTAAATATCATATTTGTTTTTCGTTTATAGTTTTGTCAGGCAGTTAGCTTTCTTGTTTGAATTGTTTTACATTTGACTTTTTTATAGCTTGCTATGCTATGCGGTATGGGTTTAACTCATTGTTGAAGGTCGTACGATGACCTATAGTTGCTATTTTCTACGTCATTTGGTCTCTGGTGGAGTGTTATCTCATTGGCGATCATGCCACATCTTCTTATTTTAATAAAACTGTTTCATGGTATCAAACGCTTCTGTCCGAAACTGTTTTTTAGGTGTCAAGAGAACTGTTCTTAAGACTGTACTAGAACAGTTCTCATGACAGTTCATGACAGATTTGAAGAGAGGTTAAAACTGATCCCAACTGTAGTAACAGTTACTCTCTATCTATTATAGAGGAGAGTCGGCAGATACCAAAGGGATATCAAAACGGATAGGTCAAAGAAAAACTGACAACGCTTTGAAAACAAACGTAAACCGACCATAAGACATACAACAGTCTTTAAAACACAATATAGAGTACAAAAGACTGAGCAACAAAACACAATATAGAGTACAAAAGACTGAGCAACAAAACACAATATAGAGGACAAAAGACTGAGCAACAAAACACAATATAGAGTACAAAAGACTGAGCAACAAAACACAATAAAGAGGACAAAAGACTGAGCAACAAAACACAATATAGAGTACAAAAGACTGAGCAACAAAACACAATATAGAGGACAAAAGACTGAGCAACAAAACACAATATAGAGAACAAAAGACTGAGCAACACGAACCCCACAAAAAAACCGGAGGTTTATTATAGATAGAAAAATAACAAAAAAAAATCATTCATGTACAATCACTTCAAAAGGAAGTCATCTGACAATTCTGGTCAAGTTAGACGGTATTTCTTTCTTCGACTTTCTGTTCTTGCCAGATTTTTTTCTACCAATAACGGTTTACAAGATAATTGACCATACTCGCATTAACCATTTTGATCTATTTCAAGACTTCGCGAATATGCTGGTATGAAACGGGATCATTAGACACATTTTATAAGACAAGACACCCATATGGTGACTATGACCAAGTTTGGTTCAAATTTTCAGATAAGTTCTAAGATTTTTGTAAAAGTTAAAGGACGATGGGCGATGGGATGGAAGCAAAGTGATTAAAAAAAAAAGGAAGGAATTTCAAAGCCCTCATCTATACCGATTTCAGTGTTTAATAGAAAGTAAAGTAATTAAAACACTCATTAAGATGTTTGGTATATAGTAGTCATCTTTTTCTGGCATAAATACTTACTTTAATGGCAATACTTTTCGGAGTTTCAAAGGAGATCCACTGGTTATCATGGTAGGCATATGGTACTTTCTGTTCATCGAGCCAAACTTCTGTCCAATTCTGATACATTATGTCATAGCAGATCTAGCCAAATAGAAATAAGAAGATGTGGAATGAGTGCCAATGAGACAACTCTCCATCCAAGTCACAATGTGTAAAAAGTAAACAATTATAGGTCAAAGTACGGCCTTCATTATGAATAAATCTTATTAATTGCCTTTGAATATTGCTTAGCTCTTCAATAAAGAAGATCTTAAGTGATTATGAAATACTCAAAAACTACTTTCGAAATTCAAGTTTGTATTTCTTTGATTATCACCCTAAGGAACTGATCTTGTATATCATAAGCAAGACATATAGGAATTAGTCGTACAACAGACCATACAAACCCATTCTCTCGACTACACATAGATACACAAGCAAAATATATAACCACGAGCAACACTTGGTCCTGATACCGTAACTTGATACCGGCCAAAGATGTAATGGGGTAGCTTACACGGGTTTTACAAGTACACACCTACTTGACCGATATACATCATCGTAAAAAATGCCTGAATAGTCCAGCTACAAACACTTATGATGACCAATTACACGAGGAAAGAAATAAAAGACTATACATAATTTGGAAAGCATAATCTAAGTCATTACTTTGTGAATCTTTTCTAACAGTATAATTCATTGATTGCTTTTTCTTAGTAGTCGCGTATCATTTGGCAGTAAGTGTTTATATCGGCCATGTTGCGACAAATAGTGAATAAATTTATTCGACAACCAAACATCTTATAGTAATACTAAATTTTCAACAACGTTTTGTGTTTCGAAAAGAATTTAAATGCAATACAAAACCGAGCTTACATAAACAATATAACACTAATCACACAAAGTTCCTTTTTAACAACTGATAACACAATGACGTATAAGACATTAATGGATAATTAGCCTACAAGTCCAAGTTAACCCTTACATATACGACACGCAAATATAAAGATTAACGTGAGCACTTGATAACACTGACATCAACGGCATATGGGAAAAAACTGTTAGAACACAATTCATATGTAAACTACCATAAAAGGTTAAGGATAAATTGAAATGGAACCACATGACAACGATAAAATTTAAAGTGTTAGCTTTATGAATAAGTATCATGCGCATGAACTTTCCAAATAAAGATGAAAACATTTTAAATGTGTTTTATACGTCAATAAATGAAAATAATACTAGTGCATCTGTAACAGGAGGGTCGGGCGGCTTTACGTCACCAAACCCTGCTGACTACTAAAATGTCTGATATTGCTACAAACTCAGCGGCAGACTGACAGACGAACGACGGATGCGACAAGTGATGTACTTTTGTGTTATGTTGCAATCAGACTGGTTCTTCCTTGTTGTACTGAGACGTATGATATTGGCAATGAGACTCTAATTTCAATCAGTTTTACATATTTTATTATCACAATGTGAAATATAACAAGTGTAAAAACAAGTGTAACAGTTTACAGTATAAAAATAGATCTGAATAAATATTCAACAGTAATCTCAAAATGTATGTTTAGTAGTAAACATAGGTAGTACTGGCAAGGACTACAGCATTCACGACCCTATCGGATAATCAACCGCGAGAAAACACTGTGGCAAAAGTTAAATATTAAGCTACATTTCAAACGGTTTCCTAAAGTTTTAAAGTGAAATTAATAAACCTAAAATTGCTTGAAACTTGTTCAATAGAGTGAAAAGTCTACATTTTAGAGACTTATTTAAATAGAGTCTTCATTTAATGGTCGGATTAATGATAAATCCAAGTAGTAATAAACGAATAGCGGATTATTGATAAATCCAGGTGGACTTATTATCTTTAGACAGTAAAGTATTCAACAAATTAACTAAGAGACACATTTACTATAAGAAGGAAAACATAATATTTTCCATATGCGGTGCAAAACCGTATTTCAATCTACAAAATATCATCAAAATCTATTATAAAGATATAAATACTACTTAAATTTCTTACATAAACAACATATTTAACTAAATGACATGCTTTATTTAGAAATTTCTACACAACACACAAAATTATGAATCACCTTGTAAATCCGGCATAATAAAGGGAAGTAATACTTGGTGTAATTCATAATAATTGAAAATCTACCCCTAACAAATAACCAATGAATAACTTCGTATATTTAACTGCTATAGTGAAAGGAAAATGTCAACAAAGAAGCATGGGAATTTTATATCAAAAAGATCTAAAGAATTACGAGCGAAAACAGGTAAAATTAAGCACCAAAATGTATGAAATTAAAAATCAAAATGTGTGCAATAACCACATCCGCCACACATCCATGGCACTTGTCTGGAATTCCTATATCAATTTATCATATCAAACTCACCTCATAATATGATAAGAATCCCTTTTCTTTTATGGTTAAACCTGCAGTACCCTGGCCAGCAGTAGGAGCACCCAATCCTGTCTCAGATGTATTATTCAATACAAAAGACCTTCCATATGTTGCCATACCCATTATAAGTTTTTCTTTTGGAGTACCGCCATCCAACCACTTTTTAACAGCAAAATCCTAAAAACAAACAATGTCAGCCTCAATACGTTGTACTATCCAGTGTAGAGTTTAAAACAAATGAAGCAACAAAAAGACTTCAAACAATGGGAAAACACATGCCGTATAGTAAGTAATAAACAATGGGAAAACACATGCCGTATAATAAGTAATAAACAGTGGGAAAACACATGCCGTATAATAAGTAATAAACAGTGAGAAAACACATGCCGTATAAAAAGTAATAAACAGTGGGAAAACACATGCCGTATAATAAGTAATAAACAGTGGGAAAACACATGCCGTATGATAAGTAATAAACAGACCCAACTTGACAAAATGTAAAACAATTCAAATGAGAAAACCAATGATCTGATTTATAAATAAACATAAACGATTATATAAATAACACATAGCTGAGAGGGTGATAGAGGCGAAGCCAATGTTGACAATGTCTTTTCGAGGGGTAACAATCTGCTCTATCACCCTATCAGATATGTGTTATTTAATTTATTATACTGAATGTTCTGCTATTACTGTCGATTAAATTTCAAATTTAAAGTAATAAACTATGACGTCTTGTACATAACAACCATCCGTATTTAATAAAGCGCACACTTGATCAAGCGTCTCCGTGAAGGGTAATAGAGTATTTACCATAGAATAGAGTAAATTAACACCCTCGTATACGCCAATCAAAATATTGCATTTTTACGTGAAGTATAATAAAAAAAAATATGACAGACAGCAACCCATGACTACCACTCCAGGGTTCTGATTTCAGATAGGCACACATAGAATGTGCAGGGCTAAACATGTTTACACTAAACTCTCCCTAGCCTGGGATATTGGTGTAACAAGACAACAGATAAACAGGCTGTAAAATCAGTTTAAAAGGATCGGCACGTAGAACAAAAGTCAAACTACAAAAAGAAACAAATACAAAAGACTCCAAGAACCGATGTAAGAATATTTGCAGCTGTTGAAAGCTAGTTCAAAGCCGATTACAATTAATAAATACATCATGATTTCAAGACCAGAATATCAAGTATTATTTGAGAAAAGCATGAACTTGTGTGATGTCAAAATATAAGTATCGACAAGATGAAGGACCATAAGCATTTAAAACTGTATAGCTATATACAGTTCGTAATGTTAAACTATTGATAATGATATTAATGTTAGTGCCAAAAAGACTATATTCAATTATCTTACTACAGTGTTAAACTGATAACCTTTAATAATAAGTTTATTCAAAGGTTCAATAAGTTAACTTGCATCGTATTTTCATTTACGGGCTCTCTAGACAACATTATCATACAAATTAGGAGGATATATCTGCTTTGTAATAAAGTTTCTACGGGCACAGCCAAACTTCTAAACTAAACATAGGTAGTTTTCTTGTCCTGATTTTATTCAAAAATGTAAGTATTAAATTCACAAATATCGAATGTGGTGGCAAATATACTACCGGTTCACCTAATAAACATGACATAACTATTATCATGGTTAAGAGTCAGAGTTGTATTCCTCTAACTGCTAAAAAAAACATTGATTGGTTGAAATTTGATGTTGATGTAGAAAACAGTTTTCTACGCAAGGAAATGCCTGTACCAAGTTCCATTCGTTTGATGTGTTTGAGCTTTTGATTTTGCCATTTCTAGGGACTTTTCGTTTTGAATTTTCCTTGGAGTTCGTTATTTTTGTTATTTTACTTTGTATTGCTTATGATAACATACCACATTATAAGCATCGTCTGGAGTTTGTGATTTATATAGTGGAGTATTACATTGTGTTCCATTATAAATACATACCACATTATAAGCCTCGTATGGAGTTTGTGATTTATATAGTGGAGTATTACATTGTGTTCCATTATAAATACATACCACATTATTAGCCTCGTATGGAGTTTGTGATTTATATAGTGGAGTATTACATTGTGTTCCATTATAAATACATACCACATTAAAAGCCTCGTATGGAGTTTGTGATTTTTTATAGTGGAGTATATCATTGTGTTCCATTATAAATACATACCACATTATTAGCCTCGTATGGAGTTTGTGATTTATATAGTGGAGTATTACATTGTGTTCCATTACAATTACATACCACATTATTAGCATCGTATGGAGTTTGTGATTTATATAGTGGAGTATTACATTGTGTTCCATTTTAAATACATACCACATTATTAGCCACGTATGGAGTTTGTGATTTATATAGTGGAGTATTACATTGTGTTCCATTATAAATACATACCACATTATTAGCCTCGTATGGAGTTTGTGATTTATATAGTGGAGTATTACATTGTGTTCCATTATAAATACATACCACATTATTAGCCTCGTATGGAGTTTGTGATTTATATAATGGAGTATTACATTGTGTTCCATTATAAATACATACCACATGATTAGCCTCGTATGGAGTTTGTGATTTTAGTATAGTGGAGTATTACATTGTGTACCATTATAATTACATACCACATTATTAGCCTCGTACGGAGTTTGTGATTTATATAGTGGAGTATTACATTGTGTTCCATTATAAAAATCACTATTCATGTCAAACGCCATTAGATTTATAAAGTCCAAATATCTGCAAAAAAAAAACATTTGATAAAGCAATTGTTAGGTGTGACAATTTTATTTTCCTCCAAGATATACACATTTGTGATCTGTATGTTGTAAACATAGATCAACTATAAAATCCAAGATGACAGAAAAGAAACTTCTTAAGTATTTGCATTCTACGGAATTCTATTGATTAATATAATATTGTCTTAAAGTTGAAATACTAATATGGAGTAACAAAAAAAATCCTAATTGAAAAGAAAATTACATGAATCTTCACCATAAATAATTGGAGGAAAAAAATTAAAACTTTACTCTGCTATTTTGCTGATTTCGTACGCAGTCTCTATTTCCGGCTTACTGGCTGCCACTGCTGCTGTTAACAACAGACGAGAACTACCATTTCTTAAATCTTCACTGTCATATTTTGTTCGTAATGTCTGCAAAAAGTAATTTTTCATCGATCAAACATTGATGGACAATAAATTATACTATAACAAAAATAGTATTAGCATTAACTACTCATATTTACTTATTTGAAATAGTCTACTATCAATTTATTTTGAATAAAAAAAAATATGTTCAATGAAGCTAAAAAAAATAATAAATCCTTTACTTATAAAAATAATGAGATGTAGTATGATTGCCAATGAGACAACTATCCACCAAATTTCAAATGAAATGAATGTGAGCAATTATAGGCAACCGAACGGCCTTCAACAATGAGAAAACCCCATACCGTTTTGTAGTTCTTAATATAAACCATTATATATTTGTAAACATATTACTGAACAGAAGATGCATTTTCTTTAAGATTTATTAATAGTTTGTACCTTAACTAAAGAAGTAAATCTCTGTCTGTCCTCTGGAGGGCTCCCTCTGTTGGCAGGATATTCCCAATCTAAGTCAAGACCATCAAAACCATTTTGTCTAAGGAATTTTATTGAATTTGTAGCAAATGCATCTAAATTTGCTTGGTTTGCCACCATACTGGTAAATGGTTTAGTACCATGATTCCATCCCCCAACAGCTAACAGTAGTTTTAAGTCAGGATTTTTACTTCTTACATCATGCATCATAGCATACTGACCTTGTTCTGAAATTGATATGTATGAAGTTATACTATTTTCAGCCAAAGTTGTTTTCTGAAAATTTTAAAACAAACTGTAACAAATAAAAAAGAAAATACTAGTTGCTCGATTGACTTTTACTTAATCACTGGTTTTGATAAACGTGTTCTTTTAGTATATATAGTAAAACACAACATCTAAATTTGGTTGATACAGAAATGTATCTTTTAAAAGAAGTAACGGATAATTCAAACGTTTAACCAACCAAAACATCGCTTTGTAATTTGACAAATATGCAATTCAATATGTTATAAAAATAAATAGAGACGGATTTATAAAAGTTTTCAAAACTTGTTTCCGAATCCCATATTTATTGCACTACTTTATTGTTATAATTTTTTCATAATAAATACTGTTTTAACTAAAAAAAAAAATTGAAGTCCCTATAAGAACAAAAACAATTAACACGAAATAGTAAAACAACATTTAAATCAAATAGTACGTCTGGTACCTCTGATATATCAATACTGGTGTCATAAAACAACCATGCTATCAAAGAATTACTACCACAACATCAATACTGGTGTCATAAAATAGACCATATTGTCAAAGAATTACTACTACAACATCAATACTGGTGCCATAAAACAACCATGTAATCAAAGAATTACTGTTACAACATCAATACTGGTGTCATAAAACAACCATGTTACCAAAGAATTACTGCTACAACATCAATACTGGTGTCATACAACAACCATGTTATCAAAGAATTACTGCTGCAACATCAATGCTGGTGGGGAGATGTATAATCATGTTATGGTGCCACAACGCTACAAGAAGCTATTTTCTCCTATAACAAAATTACAAAGCAGGAAATTTAAGACTGAATTCTAAAGGCCTTTTCGTTTCTTGTTTTGATGGGTTGTACCTTTGACGTATACACAAACTATCTTCCTTTATTCATTTCAAGTAGCAGTATATGACACACCACAGCAATAAACGTTGTTCCTGTTATGCCATTATTTTGTTGTAGAGAATAATTTAGTACATGTAAGTATGGGTTATCACCAATAGCCAGTTAATGGGATACAAACAAAAATATACATAGAACAAATATCGGTAACCAAAGACTTTACATTTAAACTAATGAAATTACCCCATGCACGAATGAATTTTACCCTATGCACTATTGAACCTATCCTATGCACTATTGACCCTACCCCATGCACTATTGAACCTACCCAATGCACATATGAACCTACCCTATGCACAATCGAACCTTCCCTATGCATAATTGAACTTACCCTATGCACTATTGAACCCTACCCTATGCACTATTGACCCTACCTTATGCACAATTGAACCCTACCTCATGCACCATTGAACCTACCCAATGCACATATGAACGTACCCTATGCACAATTGAACCTTCCCTATGCACGATTGAACCTACCTTATGCACTATTGACCCTTCATTTATAAACTTACTCCATGCACTATTAAGATCATTCCATTCATATGGTTTGATGTTATTGGATTCCACATTGGCGAAGGCATAGATCACGTGCGTGCATAGAAACGGATCTACATTATTGGCCCTGTACTTTCCGATTCCATTACGATACTGGGCCCAATTTGTAAAATAACATACTCTTTAGTAAGTTGCAGTGGCTGAAAAAGTATTTATGTGTTTAAGTACAGCAGTTTGTAGAGTAAATCTAGAAAAATAAAAACTAAAGTACCAAAATGCTCATTTCACATATTAGCATATCTAGCCATCAGGTTTTCATCAGAACGCTGTAATCACTTGTGTCTTAATTCTAATAAAAATTGATTTATAAACATTTGAATAAGAAAAAATATCATTTCAAAATCCTGCTTCTGGTGTATCTAAGCAATTTGTTATTCTAACTTCTCTATATCTTTTTGTAGAAACAAAACTGCATCAAAACTAGAAATTTTGATATGTGCAAATACTATTTATGATGTAGCTATAAGATTTGGCACAACTTCTTTCCTTCAATGCTCTTCAATTCAGTATTTAATTTGGCTCTCCAACTGTATTGATACGTGCGCTCTTGATGGGTATACTGGTGAGTATTGTGTAGACGGAAAGCGCGCCTGGGGTACCAGATGAGTTTTTTTTAACAAACTGGTCGATTTCACTGCGGTGGGCATTTTAAATAAGCGTAGCGGCCGATATTGATTTCAAAATAAGTATATTTTTTATTTGCTTTATTCAAATGTATTCTTTTCTCCGAATGTGACAGACCGAATAAGACTTATCACCGGGTTTGTACTTACATGAGCAACACGACAGGTGCCATAAGTGGAGCAGGATCTGCTTACCCTTCCAGAGCACCTGAGAGAATCCCCAATTTTTGGTGGGTTCGTGTTGCTCAGTCTTTAGTTTTCTATGTTGTATTTTGTGTACTGGTGTTTGTATATGATCTTTTTCTATGTTTGCCATGGCGTTGTCTGTTTATTTTCGACTTTTAAGTTTGAATGTCCCTTTGATATCTTTCGCCTCTCTTTTACAATTCTATCTTTTCTTATTGTTTTACTTGCGTCCGTGTTATTTTTGTGGTAAATAAAAATCTCATCAAAGGTATAAGTCCTATAATTTCAATGAATACGTCAGGCGCGAACTTCGTATTGTCAATGTATCAGCAACCAAACAACAAAGTACAGACATTTACTGTTACACCACTGTCCCAGGTTAGGGGGAGGGTTGATCGCTCACAAACATGTTTAACCCCGCCACATTCTTTATGTGCCTGTCCCAAGTCAGAAGCCTGTAGTTCAGTGGTTGTCGTTGGTTCATGTCTATCATATTTGTTTTTCGTTAATTGTTTTGTTATAAATTAGGCAGTTAGTTTTCTCAATTGAATTGTTTCATATTTTTCATGTCGGGGCCTTTTATAGCCGACTATACGGTATGGTTTTTTCTCGTTGTTGAAGGCCGTACGTTTGCCTATAATTGCTTACATCCACTTTATTTGAACTTTGGTGGATAGTTGTCTCATTGGCAATCATACCTCATCTCCTTATTTTTATATTTACCGTATAGTCCCCCCTTTAAATCAAAACTTACATGCTTCCAAACGGAAATTGTTTTTAAGGGTTGAAGGTGAATGTGATTTTTGTGTCGAGAACTTGACTTTTATACGGAAGGGACTTTTTTCCAAACTTATCTACTGCATTTAATCCACAGTAATTAACATAATAAATCGGAAAGAGAAGATGATACGTTAAACTTTTTTTTCTTACCTTCTGATAAAAGAAGAATCAAAACAATATAGCCGAACATAATCCACTGAAAAATAACAGAATTATAATTGTGAAGTTAACAGTAGGTGAAAGACAAACAAGGAAAACATCCACAGTGGCGAGTGTCACTTATACTCGAATGTGACTTACCGAATTAGACTTATCAACGGGTTCACACCTACATGAGCAACACGACGGGTGCCACGTGTAGAGCAGGATCTGCTTACCCTTTCCGAGTACCTGAGATCACCCCTGAAGTTTTGGTGGGCTTCGTATTGCTAAGTATTTAGTTTTCTATGTTGTGTTTTGTATATTGTTGTTTGTCTTTCGATTTTCATTTTTTTGCTTTGGCGTTGTCAGTTTTTCATAGACTTATGAGTTTGAATATCCCTTTGGTATCTTTTGCCCATCTTTTACTATTATTTTTTGACTAGATTGTAACCCAACCAAGCGCGGGTATGAAGGACACTTTAAATAAATATTCAATATAAATTAATGGTAAATTTTGAAATTATTAGAACCTAAGGTTCTAACTCCATCAAACAAAGTTGACCTTAGGTAATGTGGCTATATCTTTTAGGTCCCTTTTGGTTATGTAGCTCTTCACGATTTTATGCATTTTGAACATACTTTGCTTTCAAATTTTTGAGTTTTAGCGTTCCCGATGAAGGTTGAAGGCCATCGTACGAAAATACCATGGAGATATTCTCTGTACAAAGTTAAGCAGGCAGCAACTCAAACATAATAGATGTCAAATTTTCAGTTATCTGTAAGAAGAATATCTTACTGTTTTGAAGATGTCAATTTAAAAAACATTTGTAAATGTACAGTTTTTATTTAAAAACACATCATTATATGCGGTCGTTTCACACGTTATTCTGTAAATATCGTAGTTATATGTATATTGTGATTGGTTTTCATTAATCTATTATTTAGTTAAGTTATAGTATGTACTTACGCGGGTTATTTTTATAGGGCCCGCAGTTTATGTAGTCTGTTATTCTTGTATGTATATACTATATTTGTGTAATGAACTTTTACACAAATATTCGGCCAAAATAAAAGTGTTATTTATCGTCTTGTTTTTCATTCGGAGCCAGATATAATAAAGTTAAAATATACAAGTTCGGCAATGTTATCCCATCTTTTGAATCAAACACAAAAATAGTGAGAAGTACATGAAGAAAATCAAACGCATATAATCTAATCGTTTTTGTCGCAAAACCATATCTCCAACTTCGGAGTAGGTAGGAATTTACCCATATTTTTGATAGCCCAAAACACAATCTAAAATCAAAGTTAGAGGGGCTTCCAACAACAAGATTTCTACAAAAACAACCTGTAAAACGAAAGCACCATATTAAAAGATATATCTGGGTTAGGGAAAAAACCAATCTACCGATATCGTGTATATCTAAATTTTCCCGCCAGACTGGTCAAAAGGAAGTAATTTTACTGCCGATTTGTAATCGTATTGAAATGAAGCCTGAATTTGTTAATTGTCGGAAATATGATAATTGATAACCGAAAAAAAAAAAAAAGACTATCATTGCAGGCTGCGCAACTGTTATACACAACTGCATGTAAACGCAATTTATTAAAACATCTAAGAATGATTGATTTGTGACTTAAAAAATGAACGAAAAAAAAAAGGTTTGTGCTTGTAAGATGCTTATAATGCTAGAACAATCTTCACAATATAAACTATATCTCTTGTAGTTTGAGCCATGTATTTGAATTCTTTGTAGTTCTA